AGGCGGTAGAGAGAGAGAGAGAGAGAGAGAGAGAGAGAGAGAGAGAGAGAGAAAGCGAAGAAGGACTAGAGTTAGAACGGTAATAAAGTATCGCATTTTCGCAGTTGCGCGAGATTTTTCGGAAATAGATGGCGATTGTCCGAGACCAATTTCCCTGGAAATAATTAATGCGCGCTCGCGAATATTTGCGTGAGTGCCACCTGAAAACTCCTCCATGCGAGTGTACGCGCGATGAAAATTAATATACGTAACATGCATCGCGCTCTTTCAGAGAATTTCGCGAAGTGTATGAAACGTTGATAGCGATATCGTCACTCCGCCCATCCCTCCTTCTATCCCTCTCCATTCATTCACTTGCCGCGTAATGCAACAATAATTTTGCGTTAAAATCCTATAACACTAAATCATTTCATCGTAATCGCCTGTTATCGGAACAGAAAAACAGAAGCTGAAATAGAAGCCAAGTTAGAAGGAGGAGGAGATGAGAGAGATGGAAGAAAAAGCGAAACACAGAGAGAGAGAGAGAGAGAGAGAGAGAAAGAGAGAGGGACGGAGGAACAGGAAGAGAGGGTGGTCCAAGCGGAGGCGGGAGATAAGCGACGAGGGGTCGAATCGGGTTCGCTTCTCCTCGCCCTCTCTTCTCGCTTTTCCAAGGCTTTCCTCCATTTTACGCGAGACCGTGCGGGCAGCTGGCGCTTACTCCGGGATTTGCTCGGAAATTTATGTTCGGATGGAGCGCAGCCGCCGCGCCGTTTACCCCCCTCGGCGCCGCTGCCTCCCGTCGCCGCCGCCGCCGCCCGCCGATTTACAACTTCTCCACTCACCTGCGCCAACTTTCGGATGCGTGTAAGCGCCGCTTCCAACTTCCACGGCGACTCCATTCTTCGTCGCGTCGTGTACCATCGACGCGATAGGAAAAATTGTCGAGTTCGTCGTTGTGAGCGCGGTGATTTATTGCTCGCTAGGCTCGCCGTCGTCGACGTCGTTGAAGGCCAAGGCGGCGGCACGACGTTGGAATATTTAAGAAGGCGGAACACGCGCGCGGGCCACTCTCGCGGGATTAAGGGAATGGTAAACAGAGGCGGGGGATGGAACACGGAGAGTGTACGGGAGGATAATGGATGCCGGAAGAGTGTCGCACTTGTGGAACCAATAAAATGTCGCCAAAACAATAAACAAGATTTATTAAAACGGTAGTTTAAAAGTAGTTCTCGGAATAACCGTCGCTACGTGACAGCCACGACGTCATAAAATTTTGACAGTGTCTTGCGATACCGACGGCAAGAGGCTGATCAATATCACGACGTTTCACTTGGAGACGTTTTATTAATATTACACGTTGTCCTAACTTCCAGATAATCTCACGGCGAACGTATAAATATCTTAGACAATTCACAGGATTTAATTGGGATCCAGACCGATTTCCCCCGAAAATCTAGGAAATTTGGATGGTGGTTCAGGTCGTCATTTCAAACACGCGAATCTACGTGGAAAGTCCTAGAGAATTCTATTCGCTGTCTTCAATGTTTCCCTAAACGTTTTTCTAGTTTTTATTTTACATTAGAACTGGACAAACTTGCATACTGTAAGCACTTGTACTGCTTAGATATAAATGGGAAATGGTGTAAAAATTTGACAAAATTTGATTTAGGGAAATGGAATATTGTTAAAATAAGGGAAAAGGGATTCTCTATTTGACTTCACCAAAAAACATACCATTTTTATTGACTAAAGAAAAGCGCGAGTTTTCACTAGCATTAATTTGCGACGTGATGAGCGTCGAAGTTATTCGAAAATTAACTTAACCCCGATTCTCTCTTCTGTTTCCAGATGTGGCGGCGTCAGTGGAAGTTCACTTTGAGAACAAAGATGGCGGCTTTTTCCTGAAACACGCGCCACGCCAGTTTTACCCAGCTCGCACGGACTCGGTGCCGGCGATCTCGACATCGTCGAATAACAACAACAACAACAACAACAACAATGGTCCGGGTACGGCGCCGTCGCCGCCGCCCGGCTCAGTCCTCTCGATCGACAAGTTCACCGTCTTCCAGACGAGCGAGCCGGTGTCGGTGAGGGCCACGTACGGGCCCTTCAGCACGAAGCAGACCGTGCCGGCGCGCTACATAGTTCCTGACCCGTTGGACGCGCTTCCCGGCCCGGAGACGCGGCGCAACCTCACCGCTGCGACGATCCTCGACGCGCAGGAGCTCGGTGCTCGTCACCTCGACATGTCGGCCCACTTGGTGGGTAACAGCGTGCCACGCGACTCTCCGGTGCTCAGGGTGCTCTTCCACGCCGGCAGCGAGGCCGGTGGCAGGCGTCAGCTGATGTCAGCGCGCCACCAACGAGTCTGCGTGGTGCTGCACGCCAGCTTGGCGAACCCGATGAGGAACAACAACCCCGCGAGTAGGAGCAACGGCCGCGGTGGTTACTCCTCCTCCTCCTCGTCATCGTCCTCCTCCTCCTCCTCATCTTCCACGTTGACTGCAGCGTGCAGCCCCGACGGCGAGAACGGCGTGTGCCTCGCGCAGATTACTATACCGGCCAGTTGGTGGACTCCGCTGCCACCACCCGACGCCTCCGGCCGTGTCAAGGTCGCCAAGAGTATGCCGCGATTGATCCAGGTCGCTTACTCCGTGCTGGAACCGCGTACGGAGGAGGGGACGGGACTCGGCGGCGGTGGCGGCTCAGGTGCCGACGGCGGTTCGGGCTTCTGCCGACCCAGGGTGCAGATTCAGCCGGTCACTCCCTTAGGTCAAGTGCCACTGGCCCCAAACAAAGCGGATTACAAGGAGCTGAGGGCGGACGACCTGCTGACATTGTTGGTGCCGCACGGTCCGCTCTATCCGAGATCCAGACTGTATGTTCCGGCCTTCCTGCACTCCAAGGTGACGGATCTACGGCCGCCGTTGATCGTCGCGGTTTACATCAGGTACGTGGATTCCTTCTGGATTGTTTTTCTAGGGATCTTCTCGACTTTGCATGTCGAGAGAGACGTCATTGTAGATCGAGATAACTTGTGATCGTTGCGTCACGTATTCGTGGTCCACATATAAATCTGATCGTGCCAACTAGATTTATATGTTTGCCAAACATCCTTTTTTTCGTATAATGCTTCAAACATGCAATCGTGAGTAGGAAAATTCAAAGTCTTTTCTGCATTTCTTCTGGTTTCCATTTTATGTTAGAATTGAAAAGACGTGTTGACTTTCCAAATAATTTCATTATTCAGTAAAATACTACAAGTGTTTTAAAAAATATTTTACTTTTTGATATCCCATACTGAATACAATAGTTTGCATAAAAACGGGATTCCCTGCTTGATACCATAGAAGTGTACCAGCTGAAGAAAGTGTGAATTTCTATAGTATTTCTGTTTCGATTTGAGATAGAGAATCTATGTTTGGGACAAGAATGAGATTCCCAGTTGCTACCATAGGGGAATAAATAATTACAGGGACATGTTTTGGCATTCTAATTAGAATCTATGTCGCATCTGGGAAAATCTCAGGAGATTTCTACGCGGATAGCGGATGTGTTGAAAATAGAAGGTAGCAATGAATAACAATCAAGATTTTCAATCGTTCTCAATTAGAATTGATACACTTGGGATAAACACGCGACGAGAGTCGGCGAATAAGCGGCGATTGGACATCCCGCCCTCGTAACAATCCGCTTAATCGGGTGAATGGACGGTTAAGCGGCCGCGAGACGCAACCGCGCCGTTTCCTCATCGAGATTCGTTCGCGGCGTCGACTTTTCCCTATGTTCTTCCTCGGAAGCGCACCTGGAAGCGAAGAGAAGGCGCTCGAGAGTGTCGCGGAGAGAGTGTCGAGGCTGTCACAGAAGTGCGGGCACGCCTGTAACGTTTCGTTGTTGTCGTCATCGTACAGTCCGCGGAAATTTCCTAATTGGACGAATTGTCGAGCGAACGAGGTCGAAGTTATAAACCCGTCTCTGTTGTTAGCACTCGGAAGCAGTCGGAAGTTCCGCGGCGACTAACGCGACTCGGGAGAGAACGGGGGAAAGAGGGAGAGAGAGAGAGAGAGAGAGAGCACTCGACCAATCCGCGTGAGAAACGCGTCGTTGACTTTGTGTAACACGGCGCTTGCGAGAGTGTACAACCAGTGACTGTCGGGACACTCGGCCAGTCAAGTCGGGGATAATCGCGAAACGCTTGTACCAACACATTTCACATGCCAGATGCCGAGGTTTCCGCGGAGTAATGACGTGTCGTGTGCGCGAGGGTGACTTATAGCAGGGGGTTAGCTATAGAAGTCGCGGCGCGGGAACACATCGATATGCCGTCCGTAATAGACGGCGCGGGTACGTCGCCGCAGCTATGTGCACGTCGTACGCACGTAGGTCGCGGATACATAATTAAACAGCGATATTACTCACCCTCGCACGTATCATCGCGTTAAGAACACCGCCGCTCGGCTCGCGAGCCTCATGGGAATTTCTCAAGATTTTCCCATAATCAGATTCCGATCGGAATGCAAAGCTAAATTTATCGCAAAGTACATTATCCCGTCTTAACACAACATTAAGAATCTCATTATTTTCATAGAGCTTATTCTTATCGAAATTAAATTCGATAGAATATCACGTGAAAAACAAATGCATCCAAATCACTTTGATTCGCTTCACCAAAAGTTTATCCTTAGGAGAGTAAATTCCTAAGGATTTCCTAAAATTTAGGAAGGGAAGGAAAATACTTCGTTTTCCTGACTTGGACCGCGTCTTCCTTGTGTTTGGTTGCGAATAATCGTTTCGTGAACAGTTTACTCCTCCAGCGAACAGAGTGACCTGAAACTCATGAAAAGAAAATAATACAAAAAGAAAGAACTCTAGTAGCAAAGCGCTTTCTATTTTTCCTGTAATTCTATATTCTTAATAAGAATTTTCAACGAAAGAGCGTTTTTCTTTTTAATGAGGAGTAATAAAATATCGTATTTTTCCTTTTGATATTTTCAGATCCTCTTGGAGATCATATATAAAGAGGATTTTGTTAAAGATAAGATTATATCTTTTTTGGACGTTACACTTTATAAGCATAAATATCTAAAAAGTGTTAATATTCCAAGCGTTTTGCTCGATTCCAGTGTCAAAAGGAAATCAGAGTAATCTCTGAAAAAAACGTTGCAAAGATCAAATTGAATCTGCTTGACCTTTCCGCTTAAAATCGCGCGTTTGAAATATTATACTTCTGACTCCTAAATCTGCCCTCTTTTTTGGGAAATCGAATTGAATTTCAATTAAATTTTCTATGTGAACGCTGATATCGCGATTTCGATGAGAGATACGTTTAATAAGCACAAATAATCTTCCACTTGATGGGAGAACGCGGAACCTCATTTAGATTTTTCCACGGTTTCCAGTTTTTAGTCTCACGCGCGAATTTGTTGTTCCCGCCTTCGGCCGTCGTTCGTTCTGCATTTTGCAATTATTTTAATTGTACTATTGTCGCGGACAACAAGATTGACTAGTTTTAATTTCACGCGATTCAGTTTCTGAGTACGTTTTTTAACTGGAAGTGAGATGAGAAGGAAACTGAATCACGTGAAATTGATACCAGTCAACTTTATTGTCCGCGACTGCACGTGCACCGACAAAAATCCGTCGATTATCAGAACATGTCTGCTGTTTGATGTTCGTTAGGAAAGCAGATTGAACAGTCATTTGTCATTTTAACAAATACACATTGCCTGAAATACATATCACGTTTGTTCTCGTTTATTTAGGTTGGGTCAGTTATGTCTCTATTACAGAAGTATCGCTCAGAGCAGCAAATTGAAAGTAACAAATCATTTGTTCCCGCTACGGGGTCGTTTGCTGTGCCATATCGACAAGCCATTTGTTGCGGCTGCTGATATTCTGTTAAATTAGCACAAATTTTCTCTCAGTGTGTCACAATCGTTATATTTATAGAGTTGTCATACGTCACCAGTCAACGTCACCGCGTTGAAGACTAGTTAGCGAATAGAAATGAGACTGTTCATAAAATTGAGAAGAGTTTGTAAAGTACGAGGTTCGCATACACTGAGAGAAATCCTTTTGTTATCAGAACAAAAACACGTTTGCTGTTTGATGATTGTTAGGAAAGCAGACCGAACAGTTATCATTTGTCATTTTAGCAAACATTGCCTGAGACACAAATCATATTTGGTCTCGTCTAGTTAGGTTAGGGTTAGTTACGTCTCTATTACAGAGGAGTTGTTCAGAGCAGCAAATTGAAAGTAACAAATCATTTGTTCCCGCTATGGGGTCGCTCAGCGTCCCATATCGACAAACCATTTGTTGCCGGTACTGATATTTCGTTAAATTAGCAAAACTTTTCTCTCAGCGCGTAATCTTTCATCGCGTCCAAAACGTAGTACGAGCTGCGCGGAAACGCGACCGATAAAAGCCAGGAATATCGATAGTCAGACTCGTTGCGGCGGAGGTTGCGGGTTATCCGGATCATCTTCGCAATTTCCAGAGAGCGACTTTAGAACGCAGAGGAGACGCGCAGTTTGTGTTTGTGTGCGCGCGACGATCTCGCTCGGAGGTTAGCCTTGACGCTCGGGAATTTTACGCGGATTAACGAGATGCGCGCTGCGTTTTTACAAGAAACTGAGTTGTAGCCGCTCAGATAAGAGCGCGCGTCTCTGCCTTGTTGTTGTCTCGTATTCCTCGTTGCCTACGTCGACGCGACGCGCCAATAACGCGAAAAATTGCGAAATTCGCTTTGTGGCAATTTTTCCGCCGCGTGTAATAAGTCAGCCGCTATTTGCACCGTTGAACTACAGAACAAATTGAAATAAGCTCTGCCTCATTACTAGCCGAATCGGCGTAAAACTGACGACACATGTTTTCGTGCTGGATTTAGTGAGATCTAATAACATGTTAAAAACATGCACCTATTAGAATGTAGTTATTTCTAGCATTTCTAGCATTTCAAGCACAAAAACAAGCATCATGTCTTAAAAATGAGCTGAGGTCGCTTAAACGCCGTTGATTTAAAAAGATGCTGAAGTCGACGATGAACTCGAAAAATGTCGATAACGCAGAGACGATCATCACGATCACGCTATCTTTTTCGTATTTCTTATAGATGTAGATCTTACGTAAATGTATGTTGCTTTATTTTACCATATTCAGCGGGTAATCTAACTACGCATGTAATCTTTCTGCAAACTTTTCCGTTCTGCAAACTTTTTCTCAAGCTTCTGAATCAGATGCGAAGGTACAGCAATGTTCTTCAATTTTTTCTATTTAGAGCATCCACACTGTCTGTATGCGAAATTGGTCGATGAAATTTCATTAATGAGAATTTGGCGATTTCGGACTTTGTGTCAAGATATCTCCTCTAGTAAAATATGTGGCGCAAAAATGAGGACAGTTCTCTTATATAGTTGGAAGAAATCGATTGGGATCACTTAGAACTCAGTCGGATCAGCCGGATTTTAGCAGAACGAGAAATTTTGCAGAGGCGTCGCGTAAATATAGACAGCCGTTCCTCGCTTCGCGCGAGACGCTACCGCGTCTCTTGATAGTCGAATGATTTACACATAGACGGTAGATCTCGCGATCCGCGCGTTATCAAGACTAAGGGCCATGGCACACAGAAAAACTTAAGCAATAAAACGTATACAGTAAGCAAATTGACCAGTCACAGTCGTTGATTCTTGGACCGTAAGAAAAATCAGCGATTGTGATTGGTCAATTTGCTTACTGTATACGTTTTATTGCTTAAGTTTTTCTGTGTGCCATGGCCCACAGAAACGCGGCACAAAAGAAACGTAACAGAGTCATATTAGAATATAAATCGGCGGAGTCAAACGCGAGAAACACAGCGGCGGTACACCTGGTAATTCGCACACGCGTATCATGGAGATCGGCGGGAATCTCAAAGGCGTCAAAGCGCGAATCGGTGTGGGGTAAGGAGTA